TTTTTTCTGGCCTTACAGTGCCACTCAAAAAGAAGAGAGAGATTATTAGGTCATTTGTCGTTGAAAAGCACTTGAACTGGAGTCAAATGGCGTTGACTTTTTAATTAATCACTTCCATGATCTTATGTTTTACTGTCTTTTATTATTTAACCATTGTCATTAATTTCAAGAGAATTAAAATAAATAATAAAATCCTAGTAAGTTTTATTTTTTAAAAATCCAATCATACGGAATTCAATTTTAATTTCAAGAGAATATTCTAAAATAAATAAATATTTGGGATAATAATAAAAAATAATTAATAATTGTTATATAACTTCACTTCTTGTACCTAACTAATATTTGAGTAATTAACTATAATTTTTATTATTCTAAGTTAAAATAATAATTGTTTTTTTTTTTAAAAAAAGGATCCGTGTGGTCCCCAATTTTTTTTATCAGCCGATCAGAATAGCTCCCAAAAGCTACTTTTCGGATTAAATGCCTATGAGAGAGAAAATAAGGAGAGAGACGAAAAAAAATCTTGAAAGGCAAACGAGGATCCACTTTCACACGTGTCGTCACCTTATTGGATTCTTACTTTAATGTGATCTAATTAAATGGGTTGCCAACGTAAGTTTATATTTTGATGTTTGGTTTTAATTTTTAATTATATTTTTTTTTCTTTTCTACAAGTTCAAAAAATCTTCAATTATATTTAGATTATTAATTTGTTATAAATTTTCTAATAATGGTATTTAATTTTTATTTTTAAAATATTAATAGGAAGTAAATTAGTATTTAATAGATTTTAAACTCTATCCTAAAAAAAAGTAACATAAAATTGGAACAAAATACAAAACCTTAGGAGTTCAAAACAAAATAAAAAGACAATTCAACAATATATTTTTAATCCTATTTAAATAAAAAAAATAATTCATAATCTATCCAATACTAAAATTTATTTTTTAAATTTATATTCAAATAATCGATCTCATAATGTTCCAAAACATGATAATATTACGTGCATTTCATTTTTTTTAAAAAAAAAAAAACTCCCCATTTATATAAAATTTTGAAGCATAGAAAATATTGGTTTTTTAAAAATAGCAGTAAAATAGTAAAATAGGGAAGTGTATTGGGTAAAAATATGTAAGCTATTTTAAGGAGCTATGTGCATAATTGAGATTGGTAAATTAATGTCATTTAATTCAATTTTGCTCCACATGGTTACCTTTAATGTCGTCTATTTATTTCAGTTTCCAACACCCCATATGCCCTTACATTTTCATCTTTAAATAAATTAAAATTAACTCAAATATACATTTATTTATTTATCTTATTTTCTAATTTTAACACGGACAAAAGCCTTTATTTATGTATTTATTTCTCTTCCAATCATTTCACACGCTACTTACCCTTAATTTCTCTTTTTTTTTTTTTTTTAAATTATAACTATATATATATATATTCAAACTTATATAAAGTTAGAGATGGAGTACATCATACTTCCATGTGATATGTTATATGCTTTTAAGATGATAGGTAATTTTCATTCTCGTCTTGTGTATTTATTTTTACCCAAAATAAATAGTTTTTAAAGTCAATCCAATTACGATATTTTTCCATATATTTTTCAATAGCCACCACGTTGATTCAACTAATAAAGTTAAAATTTTATTTCAGCATTTAAATCTTTCCTCGTCTCAGTTTTCATATTTATTATTATTATTTATCGTTTTCATAACAAACAAGAAACACAAAAAAGCTATCTTCCTTTTCATAAATGATTATCCACAGCATATTCTTTGTTAATCTTATTTTAATTTGACACGTGAATTTTTTTATTTAATATATGAGTTCGAGTTCATTTCTCTGGTAAGTCAATGTGTATCTTAAGATCTATCTCCATTTGAAGTCCAGCATCCTCACTAGCAATTGTTTTCCTCGGCGGTAAAGGTGTGATTTAATATATAATTTTTTAGATATTTTAAAAATATTTAATAAAAAAGGATGAATTTAAAATGTTATATGTTAATATTTTTTTTTATAAGGGGTGGGGCCTAAAATAAAGAGAGTAGGGTGGGAAGGCATTAAAGAAGAAAAGGTAGGCGAAGGCATGAGGAAGAGGTGAAAGAAACAGCGCCGTGTTTCCAAATATCTTTCTCTCTTCTTCTGCTTCATCTCGTGAAAATTGCAATAATAATAATAATAAAAATAAAAATAAAAATAAAAATAAAAAGCTAATTTCATTCCATGTGAATAAAAGGGTTTACAGGTAGCCCTTCTCAAAGTCAACCCTAAACCCTCCATGCCTCGCTGTCATATCCTCTTCTTCCTTCATTCATGTCTTGCATGGGAATGCTTACATCTTCTCACTTTTTTGGATACCCTACTTCTTGTCTGTAATTACATTATTACCCTCCAATCATACTTATTATCAACTTATTATATCACTTATTACCTAATCATCTGACCCACTTCGACGTTTCCTAACTTAACCACATATTCCAACTCCCTATTGACATGATATCTTGATGAAGTTACAGGACTTCACGTTGACATGACTATATTAAGTGCATGACTCTGATATCTCTTATTAGGGATGATAGGCTTTTATTATGGTATGATATCGTCGATTTTGAGTATAATCGACTATGATATCAGTTATTAGAGACATGGGTCTCTATAGTAGTATGATATTGTCGACTTAGCCAATGTGGGTCTTTATAGTAATTATGTAATGGTCGAACAACTTTGGTTTGTATGGGTGTTGCATGGAGGTGGATGAGTTGCAACATAATAAACTTTCCCGCAATCAATGCTTTAAACAGTAAGCTATGAGATTTGTTGAAATCGTATCCCATTTAAAGCTACACATAAAAAGACAGCCCAATTTTTGTTGACTTTGCACCACAACGAAGAAGGAAAATCAATATTTGTTGACTTTCAAAAACCTAGTATTTCGGGAGGTTTTTTTCAAACAATCCGGCCGGCGTCTGAGCCGACTATGCCTGTGGTCCCTGCCTTCTACATCTGACACGTCACCCTTTCCGCCGCTGTAAATCGGAGCTTTTTCGTGCCCCCACGTGTCACCTTAACATACCCATGAACTCAGAATTTTTCTAAATCTCGTGAATGCCCTTTCCGGGACCTGCCCACGTGAAACCAAACTACACGGCGTCGTTTCTTTTTTTTTTTCCCCTTTTTTTATTTCTCGTGCTATTTATTTTTGCTTATTATTTTGTTCTTTTTTTGCATCATTATGGCGTCATAATGACGGTAGAAAAATAAAGGCAGGTATAAGCTCACAAGTTTTGGGCTCCTATTCTTCTAAAAAAAAATAAAAAATAATTAAAATATTTATTCGTTCTTAAAGGTAACCTTTAGATGAACTCAAAAAATGGAATAAGATTTAGATTCTTAATTAAATTCAATTGAAACTATCACGAGGCTAATCAACAATTCAGATAAAATAAACTTATTCACTCAGAACTATTTAAGAATATTTTATCAAATTATAAAAATAAAACTTATCATTTTAACTATAAAAACTAAATACTAATTTTATGCTTTTTTTTTTATATTTTATTGCACTTTTAATATACATACTCCGATTTATGGACCAAATGTTAAGGCTTATCAAGAACGTAATATGACTGAGTGAGTTATTTATTTTGTAAATAGTATATATATTAAAGATTTTTTTTTTTTTTTGTAATGAAAGGATATAATGTGGACACGTGTATGGCTAAGGATGGCTTGAAAGCCAATCATTCTTTTATCTTTTGATATTTAAAATTGGAAAACATAAAGAAAAGACATTAAAGTCAAAATTAGGAAACCGACCATTTCATATGATGAGATGGACTGTTGTCTGTGGATTTGAAACTGCTTTGACTTTTGACTTTCCAACGTAGGGTAGGGTAGGGCGGGGTAGGGTTGGGTAGGTTTACATATTTAACGCCGCTTTTATTTTTAACATTTTACCAAAATGTATACTTCTTTTTAACTCAAAATACAAAATCATAAAATATTTATTAAGTTTGAATTTGATACTTTTTAATTGCAAAGTATGTATTAATGCCTTAGAGATTTTTATTTAACCTGCACCGAACACGAGGAGGAATGAGAGAGGGACTAGAAAGAGATTTCTTATTGTGGGATATATGGAGCTAATTTCCCGTAAGAAATCCCTATCTCGGCCTTGCAAAAATAAATAAAAATTTTCTTGAAGATAGGAATGAAATAGGTGGTGGGTATGAGTATAGGGAAGACTTCCTCGTTTCTGTCCCACCTTATTGATATTCTAGATCTACTCGAACATAAATCAACTAGTTAAAATAACAATTTCAGAGACACGTGCACAAACTTAGAGATATAGAACGAGTGATGATATTCTTATGTATATAACTAAAATAAGCCATATTGCAATCAAATACGCCGAAAAGGGTAGAAGAATATAACATCATTCTTCTTCAATACTATCAAAAGTCTATTTTATTTGATTGTATAAAACTAAATAGTAAGCCTACTTAACATTTAATATGATATCATTTCAATAGTTGTTGCTATTTATATATATCTAAAATTTCACAGCAATATACTTCTACAATTATGTTATTTTAAAAATGATTTAATGATTTAATGAAGACCGGATTAAAATTATTTTTTGAATATTAAAAGAAATTTTGTTTCAAATATACTTGTTTAGAAAAGTGACAAATAATACTAAAAAATAAAAAATAACACAATAATGGATAACTGCATTTATTTCAGTGAGGAAAACATCGCTTTCCTTCAAATGGGTTTCAGAGTTACCCTCATGCTACGGCCACTTCCTCTTTTGACTCCCAACTTCATCAATAATTAAAACCAAAATTAAATCACAGATTTAATTTTTTTTAATTTCTAAATTTTTTTATTATGATTTTATCTAATTAAATAATTAAGTAAACAGTAGATGTCAACCTAACTAATGTATTTTGAATGGGTAATTAAATAGAAATACCCAAAGCATCAAAAAGAATATTTGTAATCAATTTATTTAAAATAAATAAATAAAGTAACAGTGAGTGGTTTGGTTGTCTTCCTCTCCTTCATGCCCTCGTTTATGGGTAAGTTTGACTGTAGCAGTGACTTAGCCGTCGTTTCATCACCGACGCCACTTGTAATTACACGTGGAGCTGTCTAATTGGGCCGTTTTTTCTTCCACATTGACTGTCACTTTTCATGATTTATAACCAACATCAGGCCATCTCATATGTAATTACAATCATCGTTGAATCATATTAAAATAATAACATTGTTAAGAGATACGTTGATTGATAATAAAAGTAATTCATTATGACATCATGAGGTTCTCATCCACCACATCCATCTCCAATCCAATAGCCAAAGGAAGATGTTGGATGCAAATACAATAACAATCATATGCTTGTTGGTTTAAAATGACAGGAAAAGGGTAGAGCTGAGTGTACCTTGAACCCCAGATAATCGGATTTCGGCATTCGAGCGGTTTCTTTCTTTTGTGTATGAATGTGTGAAGCTGACACTGGTGGCTAATCTTTCCAGCTCTCCTTATTCAACCGTCGTGAGGCGAGGCCCATCGACGAACGACTTGGAGTAACAGGCAGGGAAGGTTTGTGTGGCGTGTCATCATCCCAATTGTCATCCCAACTGTTTTCCCATCCGTCGTTATTGTCAGCAACGGATTTACCTCCAATGGAAATAGGGAGCTCCATGTCCAGCCTTTGGTATTTAGAGTTGCTACTAGCAAAACTTTTACGACGAATGCTAATGAACACTGAAGCAGCTGCAATTGTCAGAATTACAGAAAAAGCTAAAAATGCAATAATAGGTGGCTTTGCCAGGTAGCTGAACCGTGGGGACTTGGGAAGATCATCAGAATCTTTGGCAATATTGCGTTCAACAAGATCCCTAAAATCAAGACTACAACGGCCGCTACCTGCAGTCAGAATGATCACCTTTCCATCTCCACCATTGCTGACTGAAACTTTTACCTACATAATTTGATTACTTGGATGTGTATATTAAGATGAAACTCTAGCACATATATCTTACAATTAACTAAACAAATTCTACAAGAATCTAAATTATGTACTTTGAAGACATTATGTAACATGATCAAAGATATAGATGTGATCAATTATTGGATTCAAATATCAGGATAATTTGTCGACTATTTATTCGATGTTAGCTGGATTGTCAGAGAAGCATGAGACCAGTCTGACATAAAAAAATGTATACAAAGTTCTGGTTATTCTGACCGACGGGGTAACTGGTGCAAGAGGCAAACCAAGTTATCATTATCTTCTTTAATGTGTCAGAGATAATAGAAGAGTCTTGTACAAAGTTCTTTAATGTCATTTTCAACGAAAGTGTAGTACAAAGAATTTTCACCATGTCTTCTTCCCCTCAAATTACTATATGTCCTGCGCCATAATTCACTCTTAAGCTTGTCTCGCAGTTTAGCCAATGTTCTAAGGTTAAGTGCCCTACCCACAATTACAATGCCTGGATTGGAGAGATAGCTTGGTATTTTGGAAGTTCAGATACAAGAACGATCATCACAATACCTAATGTTAATGTCCTTGGCAGTTTAGGGAGGATGTCTTATCATCCGTCTTTTTTTTACTTAAAGAAAAAACAATTGGGTGCATGAAAATTTGACATATTAACGGAGTGAAAGACCCAGCAATAAGTATAAAGGAAGACATGATCGGGGGTTGGTTAGTCGTTAATCTTTTCATTAAAATAACAATCATCTAACTTAAACAGCTAATTATTTAAGGTTTAGTATTCTGAAGCATCAAATGTAAGGGTCAAATACCTTTTTATCTTCTTTCTCTTGAAGTCGAACTTCACTCTGCTCCAGATGAACAAAATCGGGCGCAGAAATTTTCACAGTAAGAGGACCTGTTCCCTTGTTCTGGATTAGCAACGAAAGTTGAGGAGATTCTGCAACATTGTATACATACAAGAACTTGAAAATATACATCTATAAATAGATATGATTCATAATCTAAGATCTTTACTGTGATGGAGTGCACTAAGAAAAGGCAAATACAGCTGCAAGATGTTAGGTTCATGGATAGTAAGAATATGTAAATTTCAATATGTAGCAAGCCCATTATTTTATCCCAAAAAGTCCAAAACCAATATTCTTAACATACATTTAGGATTCAATACACAGAAACCCCAATCCTTTAGAGATCAGATTTGATATTGCCCTAGATATCAATTGGTTGATGCACATTCATTGTGGGTACCCAGATGCCAATTAGTTGAAGGAAATTGTTAGACGAACACGACTCTCCACAATGGTATGATATTGTCCACTTTGAGCATAAGCTCTCATGACTTTGCTTTGGGCTTCCCCAAAAGGCCTCACCCCAATGGAGTTAGTATTCCTCACTTATAAACCCATGATCACACCCTAAATTAGTCGATATGGGACTTCCATCATCCAACAGAAATCACATCCAAATTCGAAAGATTTTAGTTGGCTAGATAAAATTGGTTATTATTCAGATTAGAAGTTGGATTGGAAAATGATTCACAAAGGAAAACATTGAAAGAGAACTATCAATCACCACCTTTAACAAGTCCATCTATGCTTTTGGGTTGAACTCCATGGAACTTGAAGCAAAAAAGTTCTCCTAAGACTTCTATCCATATCCATAATTGTGCGAAATGATGCAGCTAATTTAAGATTAGGGCAAATTCATGGCCAAACAAGCGAATTCATCCTAAAATTAAGAGAAAACTCTCTAGAACAAAGTTCTATATTTCAAGTATGATTTCAAAACATCCTTTACAAATCTCACAAGTTGCTATTTATTAAAGAAAATAAAACAAATAACTCTTTAAATCCATAATACTAATTAAGCACTAATTAATCTAAAGTAATGTTAACTATCCAACGACTCATCCTACATCATTAAAGTCCTAACTCAACTCTACCTTGAACCCTTGGAATTTTACCAGGTGTTGAAAGTCCAAATAGAATAATAACTATGAATATTCTGTAAAAGAAAATCTGTAACTTTTAAAATTGGGGGGAATTAGAACAATAGTTGGTGTCTAACGCTAAAGTTATGCTGTGATTAAGATTATATAGCTCCTATCCCACCTAGCAAGCCCCACATTTTAAATCAAGAACATGGGAACCTACTTAAATCATAATCACATATTCAGACTAGGGATATAAAACAAGAGCAAAATTTCAGAGAGATTAAAGAACGACCACTTGCAGAAATATATGGGGCAAAAAGCATTAGAATAGTTACAAAAAACAGCTGAGAATGCCATATTAGAACGAAAATTAAACTCAAATTCTTATAAATGCATACCATTTCCTGGAACTCGTAAGCAAGCAACAAACTTATTTCCCTCATCAGTGCACTTATTTGATGAACCACAATCCTCACCCGAAGAGCCATCCTTTGTTTTCAATGCTGAAGTTACCAAATTGCCGTCCTTCCCACTATTCTTAGACGCTTCCTTCGAAGCTGAATTATCTAATGGCTTCCCCTTCTCTTTCTCTCCCTTATTCTTTCCTTTCTCAACTAAACCACCGTCACTCTTTACTTTATTTGCACCTTCTTCCGATGTTGTTTCACTTTCAGGATCCTTCTTAATTGTATCCCCGCTGCTCTTAACATCCCCCTTTGAGATGCTTACTTGGTGTTCATCCTCCTTTTCCTTACCAGCAGAAATAGAATTAAGAACCTTATTAGAACCAGTGTCCTTGCTTGCATCGTTTACTTTATTCACTGTTTTTGAATCTAGACTGGAGTTCGCAGTTTCTTCCACCTACATTCAAATTCATCGAGATGCTAAACAGAAATGGTATATTCAATCCTACAAAATCGAAGTGAACCTCTCGCACCTTGGAATCAACGAAGCTGCAGTAAAAAATTAGCAACACCAAAAAGAATCCAACCGAAATGCGAAACAGAGTCTTCATAACGTCAAAGGTAAAAGAACAACAAGATCTCTTCCCTTTGCACCAACATCAAACCATAGTTCCTAGAAACAGAAACTAAAGTAAAATCATCAAACACCATGGGTCAGCTAAGTAACTAGTAACTAGAAACTAAAATCTACAAGAAAAGATGGAGAGAGTAAGTTGGAATCAGCGGAGCAAACTAAGACATAGCTCACCAAATTGAAGTCGGCCAAATGATTCCATGGCTTCGTTCGATGATCCATAAGCACTCACCCTCTGCTTCTGAAAGAAGCAAGGAAGAAAGGTGAAGGAGCTCGATCGTAGGGCTCAAGTTCAACTGCAATTTGAAAAGTATCTGAAGAACGCAAAGCGAAAATGGCTTCCACTGAAGTCAATGCTCACAAATGGAAGCCCATTTTCGGCCCAATTGTAAATATCACAAGTGGGCTTTACATGGAATCCCATTTTCGGCCCAATTGTAAATATCACAAGTGGGCTTTACATGGAATCCCATTTTCGGCCCAATTGTAAATATCACAAGTGGGCTTTACAGAGTCTGTGATGGGCTGCCAAAATACTTGCAACGTTTCCAAAGTTTTTCATAATATTAAAAATTATTATTTTTATTTCGATTTTACCCTTCCAGTGGGCTTTACAGAGTCTGTGATTGGGCTGTCTTGAACTGAGAGAAAAAATCAAAACATCCAGCGGCTGTGACTGTGACACAAGGCTGTGAAACGGCGGTTTCATCTTTCGTCACCACGTGGCGTTGTTTAATTGGTGGTGCTGCATGGAGCACGTGCACTGAACAGTATCATTTCTTGTAAGCTTGAGAAGTCGAGAGAACATCACGTGGAGGGCCCCACTCCTTACTGACAGAATGCACGTGCTTTCACATTATCGTAATTTGATGGTCCATTTAGAATGAAACACGTGTCAACACATCCCCATGCAACGGCGCTCCAACACTACCTTTGTGACTCCTGTAAATGACACGTATGAAAATTGTTTTTCTTAATTAGTAAAAAAAAAAAAAGACTTCTTTTTTAACGGCGTTCCTTTCAGTTCTGACAAATAGAAGCCATTGCGTAATTTGGCTGTTCCCGTCCGCCGACGGAACGCGACAAGCAACCCATCCTAAGCCGCCACGTGTGTCACGCCCCCTGTAATTAGCTAAATTTACAAAGATGACCCTTTTCCCCAAAATTTCGGATACCCTATTTTTAATTTTATTTAACTTAAAAGGCAGAATTGCAATAAATATAATTATGTGGGCTGTACTGCAATTAACAGCCCAAAAATTAGCTTCCCCACTCACTCGGTGACGTGTATTATTTGAGTTTCATTTTCAATAAATTATATTATAGGATCAAGGATAAGAAAATTATTGAATGTAATTAGTATTAATATCTATCCAATTAATAAATTATTTACATCCTAATTTTTATTCTCATGGGCATTCTCGGCATTTCCTTATAATTTCTATTTTTTATAATGTATTGTTATGGAATGAACTTTCTACCAAGTATCTCACTTTACAAAGATCTGCCAATATATTTGCTAATAATTTAATAGTTAAAATACCATTTTGTCCTTTTATTTTTTTAGTTTTATTTTAGTCTATATCGTTCAAAAGTCTAATTTTAAATATTTAAAAAATATATAATAAATCTTAAAATATACTAAACTATTATCTCGACTAAATTTAATTATTTTACTTAATAAATATTTTTGGTACTCACTGGTATACAAATTTTCACTAATTTATTTGATCTATTTATAATTTAATAGGTAAATATGAGGCTAATTAAAAATTAATTATATTTTTAATGGGGGGCAGAAAAGGAAAAGAAAATTAGTTGTTGTGGGGAAGCATCCAATTCCTTTATTGGGTTTCTGGTTTTATTTATTTATTTATTTATTTATTGTTATAATAAAGAACCACACCTTCCATGTTTCCACCACGCTAAATTCCAACCAGACCCACAATCGTCACTGTTTTTATTATTTCCCCTACCCTTTAGGTCCCATTATCGTGTATCATGATTTATGAACTTCTTTTATCATAATCATATATATATATATATATATATAGAAATAAATATGGAGGTGAAATTACTATTATTAGACGGAGGAAGTTGACATATTTAAATATACGCTAAATATATATGTTATTTTCAACTCTCTTAATTACTCACAAACTTAATATTAACTTAAGTTTTAGAAGGCGTGGATTTGAACCGACTCATACACAACTTTAAATTTGGCTGATATAAGTCTATAACTACACTCACCTTGTTCAATTAGATCCAAAACACTCCATAACACTTGTTATTGTAACTCATATAGATACAAAAAAATTGACCATTACCCACTTTTGGGCTCTTAGTTTGTACTTTTCTTATACATCTATGAATACCCAATTGATATTCGATTTATTTTTAGGCCACGAAGAACGAGAGAGGGAAACGGGTCAAAGGAGTCAAAGTGATATTAGAAAATGTAACTTAATTTTTTTAGTTTGAGAATTTGAACTTTTAATTTTAAGAGAATAAGTACCTGAAGTATATCTTATATAACTTCATATTTGATCTCTGTATCCACCCATGTAATTTAAAAGAAAAAATGTAAACATACAATTGAAGGATTTGAAAATGTAAAAAAATTATGCAAAATGCGCATAAATTTCTAAAAATTAAAATTTTTACGTGCAACGTAGTTTTTAACCCTTTAAAAAATTTTGCACTTATTTAAACAAACAGAAACAAGAAAGTAAGATGAGCCGAGAAATGGGTAGGGCTAAAATAGGAAATATAATCCTTGTTTCTGACCGCATCTAGTTAGCTAGGATAAATTTTTTTCCCCTCGGTCTCTAATTCCTAATTTCTTTCATAATTGATCCTATGAGTTAAATTAACATCTATAGTTTTCGTTGCTTACCATGGCTAATTATTATTATTTTTTTAAAAATAATTGTGGTATGGCATTTTGAAGAGTCGATATTGCGGCATGCAATAATAAGTGCTACCATTGACCATTGTTACTTCCAAGACATAGGCATGGGATGTAGAGTATTAAAGGCACTGCCAAATAAAGACTCCTTCAATTATTATTTAAATAATTATTTGGTGAAGCATGCATTTTATTATTTAACCAAAAATATTATTTTCTTTTTTAAATGATATTGTCGTTGACTCGGTCAACCTATTCTCACTCAAAAAAATAAAATGTGGAACATTTTTCAAATATTAATTATTACATTTTTTTTATTCTATTAAAAATAAGAAAAATTATATTTTTTAACTCACTAAATTTGAAATAATTTTACATAGGGCTTCGATTTCAATTATTTCGTTACCGATTTAAATAGAAATACAATTTTTTAATTTTTTATTTATGATTTAGTGGAAAATATCTTATAAATAGGGGTTAGTATGAAAATGAAATAAAGGCATATACATGAAATTTGAAATTTGAAATTAATATTTAAGTTTGAAAAAATAATGCATTTTAATAAAATTTTATTATTAATAATATTTAGAAGAAAAAAAGAAACTCCGGAAATATTTGTCGGGTCGGATGGGGCCCGCTGCATTAAAAAAGTACTTGTGCTCTATCATTCCCCAAGAAGTAACATGGCACGTATCTTTTTTCAAATCCCTCTGGGCCCCACCCGGCTTTTCATCACGCGCCTGTGGACTCTCACGCGCATCGCCCTATTTTTCTCTCCAAATGTTTGGGATTTACTTTTAGGGTTTCAAACTTTTCATGAAATTACCTAACATAATAATATTTTATATCTATCTTTAATCATTTTAAAATGAATTTAACTAAATAATAATGTGTTAACCATATAACAATGGGTTTTATTTAAATAATATTGTTCGGAGCATTTTATTCACCAGTCATCGCTTAAAATAATATTTTGAGTACTTCCGTTTATTACTTTTTGAGAAGCCGTTGAACTAAATCACTGTGTACACAAGTCTAGTTCATTGCATTTTGTAAAAGCTCGTTTTGGGGACATTGAAGTCTATTTTGCATTCGAGAAGTATTCTCTACCCTTCAAGTCTAAGGTACGCCGACCCACAATCTCTTGGCATAGCAAACGGTGAGATCTTACATCGATTGGAGAGGATAACGTGTGCCAGCGAATACGTTGGTCACCAAAGGGAGAAGATTGTGAGACTCCACATCGGTTGGGAGGAGAACGAAACATTCTTTATACGAGTGTAAAATCATTTCCTAGAAATCATAAAGAGAAATTCGAAAAGGAAAGCCCGAATAGCACAATATTTGCTAACAGCATGTTTGAACTGTTACACAAACTTTTAAGCTACTCATAAAACCGCATAGGTATACACGTGTCTACGCCGATGCATTACATGTCGGCCTATAAACACCTTTTGGCGGTAAAAACTGTTTGAAGTATCAAAACTTTAATGGCATCCATAGTTGGTTGACATTTAATTTATATTCTCACATATCTTTTCTTTTTAATATTCAGATTCCAAAATAAACGACCCTATTAAAAAAATAAAAAGGGAGTTAAAAACCCTTTAGCATTTACCACGTGGCAATTTTAAAAAAAATAAAAATAAATAAATAATCCCATAGCCTTGGGGATAGAGCTCTAGGATTCTCAAACGAAACTTCATTTTGAAACCAACCACCACTTTTTTTTTCTTTTTTCTCGAGACCATAAAATCAATTTATTTTAATATTAAAATTTTAGTTAAAAAAAAAAAAATAATAAATTTGAATACTAAAAACAGCCTCCGACAACGGGTAAAAGTAGCGGCAGAAATGGCCGCCGAGACCGTCACACAACCGGCGCCAACCAGTCATCACGGGAGGTTGCCGTTTTCACACTAGTTGACGTGTCAGGTGATCCTGTTTTTGTTTAATTAAAATAGTATTAAATTAAATAATGCATAATTAGAAAAATATTAATAGCCCTCCTTAACTATTATTTCTTGGAGACCGTTGATTGCGGTTGGGAATAAAGCAATCTGACAAGCACCGATCTTTTTGACCGTATCTTCTTTTGTCATTTTCCTTCTTTGCCCTTCTTTAAATTCTTTTCAACTCTTTTTTAAAAACAAATTTATTTCAAGAGAGAAAAAAAGTAAAAAAAATAATTATTGAAGTATTAAAATGGTAACATTTAAATTTAATTAAAAAAAATAAAAGTTTATAGCATTTGGAAGAATAAATGCATGGTTTTGCACATGAATTGGGACCACATAAATTAGACAAAATTAGATACGTGGCATGTTAAATTAGGAACCATAACAATAATTAAAGTTTAGGTTCCTTTAATAGAATATTAAACATTATTTAGTTAGGTATATATT